AAAAGGGGGGGGGGGAGAAAAGCGTATCCTTTTGCCACGCTGCACTTTGCTTAACTAGGTTTAACCTGCTTTCCATATAATACTCATTCGCTACAGCTGGGGTTTGCACTTGACCTGTTTCCTCGAGGCTGAGACCTCATGAGCGCAGGGCCTTGCGATTCGATGCGTGTTATGACGTCAGGACGCAGGGTAACTGCTGCGCCTGCCGAAGGGAGCTCCGACCCAAGCAAGTGTGTTAGGGAATGGGGCGAATGGCTGCATAAGTAATTATATTGTTGCATATTAATTACTATTTTCTAGAATGACTATAAATACAGATTTCACCCATCTAATATAGTCTTGTAACATTTTTTTTTTTTTTTACTTGTAATTTTGTCCCTTCCCGTTCGAAAGGTTTTAAATGGGATATCCTTTAACATTTATATAATATTAATTTCTTCTTAAATAACTGTTCATTTATATTGTGCACACTTGGCTCTAATATACGAAAGGAGATTTTCAAATGTATTCTGGACAAACGAACGCTGATGTGTTGCTTCTCAAGATGACGAGGTTTTGTAGTAAAAACGTATCTTTAAATTTTGACACTTAAGCCCATGTCTTTATGACCCACTGTGTCCCTCATTTGAAAAAATGGAAATAATTCTTAAGAATCTAGTTTAACTTTATAGCGGCCAACAATTAAGACAAAATGTACACAGTGACTAAAATAGGAGTTATCCCCCCAGTTCCAGCTGCTGTGATCTCACCGTGGGTTAAGGTGGTGCCTAGGAAAACATTCTGTGCGTGGGCATAGAGTCCCTGTATTTTTTTCTTTGTATACTTTAAAAAAAATTATTTTAGGGAGAGAGAGGAAGGGAGAAAGAGAGAGATCCATTTGTCGTTCCACTTATTTAGGGCTTCACTGGTTGATTCCCCGACCAGGGATGGGGCCCCAAGCCTTGGTGTGTCGGGGCAACGCTCTAACCAACCGAGCTGCCCGCCAGGGCCTGGTTTCCTGTCCTCCCCCGGCTTTATGGGGCTGTAACCGACCAGTAAAACGGCACCTGTTTCGGGCGTACAGCTTGATGCTCCGACGCATGCGTGCTTCCTGAAACAAGCTAACTAGCACAGTCATCACCTCACCCGGTCATCTCTGCGTGTGTGGGGCGAATACTTAGGATCCACCCGCTTAGCGAACCTCCAGCTACAGGACGCCACTGTTAACGGGTCGCGCTGCTGCGTATTAGATCTTAGGAACTCGCTCATCTCGCGCGTCCGAAATTCTGCACCCTTTAACCGACACCTCCCCGCGCCCCCTCTCCCCAGCCCGGTGACCACCATCCCGCCCTTTGCTTGTATGAGTTCGACTATTTTAAATGCCACGTCTACGTGTAGTAATGTTCCAGACAGAAAGCATTGGACACGCACATTTTACAGTTGATGTGAATGGCAGACTACTGAAGACTTGTTTTAAAGATATGGATAATGACAGAAAAGTATCACTGATATATCGACCCATCATACTCACATAGCCAAGTGATTCACAGCTCCGTAAATAATATAAATGCAGTATTACTAAAATAAGTATTACTTGTAAGATTTATTTAAAAAAAGAAAAACGTGGAAATATTTGTTACTTGTCTTGAGAAGAAAATAATTTATACGCAATAACAGTACTGATAAATTCCTGGAAAGTACTCAGTATTTTCCACCCTCATGCTGATGATTCATGAAGTTAAAATATGTGCATATTTTCATCAAGTTAAGGAATTGTGTATACAAAACAGCTTCTCCCCTCAAATTATGTTTCTGTTTAATATAATACATTTCAGACCAATTTGTGAACAATGGGAATATCTGAAAGAGTAGAATTAAAAGTTAAAGAACATTCATGTCTCACATTTTTTAAACATTTAGAAACATTTCCACCTCAGAATTTCTGGTAGCACCAATCTAGTGGATAAACATGGTCTCTGAATGTACTAACTTGTCACTTCACCTGGATGGTTAGTTGAAAAGGACATTATTTACCTGCATTTCTAAGTCCAAAGAGTTAGTAACAGACTTTCATAACTAAAACCTACCAGTCCAGGAGGTTTATTAGAAGTCTGCTAAGGTAGGAAATAACCATCCAGATTTATGACAGGTACACTCTCAAAAGGAGCGGTTTTAATTAGTATCTATGCACCTTTATGTGTCTTGTAAATATATTCTGTTTCTATGTTCTTTAGGCCTCCATTAAATATATTTTACAAGAGTATAAAAATACTACCAAATGATTTGCTTCTTTGTTAGAGTAAAGATAAACTGAATTCACGTTTTGGTACAAAAACACCTGAACTTGTTGAACCCATAAACTTAATTGTATAAATATTGATGTAGCACAAACACACATGGGGTTAGGAGACCAGCAGCTATCTGCTTGGTGTGGCTGGTACCTGACTGATGAGAGTGTAGCATCGGCCTCTCCTGTTCTGTCTCCTCCCCTGAGAAAGGAAAGTCAGTGGTAGGAGAAGTTCCTTTGCCTTATTAAAGTTTTTCAGTAGAACATAATGATTTTGGGGCTAGTCTAAAAGGTCATGGTCAGCATTGAAGGCGGCATTACAAAGATAAAACATCATTTCTGTGTCCTGATGCTCATTCGATTTCTTCTTTACAGGGCGAGCCTGGGGAAGCAGGAAACCCGGGGCCCCCTGGGGAAGCCGGCACAGGGGTAAGCTCTGGCTTTTCATGCACGTGGGTGTCAGGAATGCCCCTTGGGGCATTTGTACCGTGCACTCACTTCCTGGCTGTAATTCAGTCAGTTGCCTGTCCTTTCCATTAAGAACAATCACCAATGCAGGGCGTTTTCATTAAATAATTTTTCATATTTTGATTAACGTAGAAATTGCAAAAATCACATTTGCGTGAGTTAGAGCATTCAAACTCGAGCTGTTTGTATACATTTTTGGGTGAGTAGTCCACAAAAGAAATAAACAAACCAACATTGCTATATCAAAAGAGATATTTGTGTTAGGACTGTATTGTTCTAATTTAGGTTAGTTTAAATGGGAGTGAATTTGAGCCTGGGGGAAACATTTGAAAATGCCTGGATACAGTTTTGGTTGCCGCAGTTGAAGGCCTGGTAGCTGCTGGCACCTAATTAAATTAGTAGAGACCGGGGGTGCTGTTATAGCCCTTGCAATTCATAGGCCAGCCCCTGCAGGAAAGAGTCGTCCAGAGCAATATGCCCAGGTTAAGAAACTGATCTGCATGGATATAGAAAGGCTGCATCGGCTGTTCCGGCAAGAAGGCAGCCAGAGCCTTGGAGACAGCACCCCAGTCCGAAGGGCTGCAGTTCCTTGAGAGACTGGCCTAGATCCTCTTCTTCAGCTCCTTCTACAAAAGCTAAAAACTGGCTACTGCCACTTGGGTGGTCACTAGTACATGCCCCCCTTTGGGATTCCTTCTCCTGTGGTAATAAAAGGTGGTCCAGTTTCCTGCAGGAACCATAGGAAACGGAATACCCAGGAACGCAGCCGGAGCAGGAAAGGAAGGATTTACATGCAGAGCCGTGCGGCCCACGGTCCGTGTCCTTTCCGTGCATAAGTGGCGAGGCTAGAAGAGCTCCAGCCTCCTCGAGTAACTAAAATGCGAGCAACGTGTGGCTTACAAATGCAAACAGCTGGAAACTGGGCAAAAAGGAAAAAGAAACTCTGACTTGCAGCTGGCAGCATAACCATGCTCTCTCTCCTGTTGCGCAGGGACCCAAAGGGGAAAGAGGGGAGAAGGGAGAAGCGGGTCCCCCCGGCGCTGCCGGGCCTCCCGGCGCCAAGGGACCGCCCGGCGACGATGGCCCCAAGGGCAACCCGGTAAGTGGGCTCGGTCCTCTTTAAAGTGGCATCGAAGTCACTGCCACTTTGGAGCTTTCTGTAGACAGATGAGAAGTCATGAGGCTCTGACCCAAAGCTGGTGAAACTGGGTTCTTGTCATTTCATAGAGTCATCAGCAGCCTCAGGTGACTTCCTCTGTAAACTTTCTAACAGAGGAAGGGACGTGTTCTCGCTCATGGGGTTACACCATGATTCTTACCTCTTAAACGCCGGGCTGTCATGACTTTCTAAACAATACTTTCCATTTATTTCCTTTCCTTTCAAAACATCATTCTAGGGTCCCGTTGGTTTTCCTGGAGACCCCGGTCCTCCCGGGGAACCTGGCCCTGCGGTGAGTACCATGGAAAAATACAGGGATTATTGGGGTGGGGATGTTCCCAGTGTCTCTATCGCTGATAATGAAGTAAAAATTTTATTCACTTAAGTGGAGCCCCACAAATAGGGAGATAAGTAGAGTGTGAACTGCAGTCACGGCAGCCACGATGCACGCAGCTGGAGGCTATAGACCTGCTCCTCCGGGGTCCTTTTCCAGACTGTTGTGTTGTATAAACTACCTCAGTAGCGGCAAAAGTCTAGGGCCTTTGCTTTTCTAAAAAATATTTTTTAATTGATTTTAGAGAGAGGGAGAGGGAGAGAGAGAGAACCATCGATGAGAAAGAAATGTCAACATGGCTGGGCTGCCCCCGCACGGCCCCGGGGGGCGTGGAGTCACCGCCCGGGCCTGCGCCCGACTGGCGGCCGGACCTTCGGCTCTT